TTCTCATGAAAAGTAAAACACAGCGCAGGTTTTAAAGATCAATAAATGGCTAGGGTAAAGTAATTTATGGTGATGATTCAGAGTGACAATAATACACTGGATTATATGGAAAGTATATAAAGTTGAAGGTGATGTTTCTTTAATTTATTTACTTAATGATATAAACCATGGATATTTGTGAATGGTCGTTTGATCGTGTAACATCACCAACATCTTATCTGAATTAAAAATTCGGAGTTAATTAACCATAAATTTTCAAAATTTTCTTAATCATGTTATTTACGAAATCATTATATTGGCGAGCCGAAATCCCTTATTTATATTATCTTTGGATAATTCATCGGCATAGTCAATATATTGACTTCGTTCTAGTGGAGTAAGGTGGTTACGCCAATAACATTCGGATGCTCTTCTAATAATAATATTTGGCGTACTTTGCCCATTCAATGAGTAAATATCGGCGAAAACTTCGGCAAATAAACGGAAGCCAGTCTCTCTCGGAGTGGTCCTACCACAATTATACCGTTTATCAATTAACGCCTGTAGACGTCCTTGATTTTGAGGCAAACTCAGATTGTGATTGTTCATAACTGTAAGTACATTTTGTACCTCAGGGTGTCTTTCCATCTATATGATAATATATTGTCACTTAAAGAATGTCGAATTTCTACATTAAAGTGCGGTTTCATAAGAGCAATGAATTGATTTCTGTAAAAAAGCTAAACAAAAATTTTATTTAAGTAAAAAATCACGTGAATATGCCCAGTTTCCAGTTTACCAGTTACGGTAAAATTGTGATCCCGCACGAACATCAATCATAAGAGAGATGCCTATTTTTTAAGTAATACGTATACAAGTGTTACATCCGAATATTTGTTTATTTTGTTGGCTTTCCAGATTCTTTCATACATTTCCATATAAAAGAGCATTGGAAAATATTTGGACACGAATCACGCACGCAGTATAACCATACTAAATAAAACCTTATCTTTTGTACTCTGGCTTTTCATAAACTGTAAACATCTCAACCTGCATGTACTACGGCAGTGAGATAATATTAAACCAAGGATCTCTATATGATTCTTTTTTAATGATGCCATATTTCTTTGTCAGATTACGTGTTGGTTTTATTTTTGTGGTTAAATTAATGTTACTTATGTGTGACCGTTTAAAGGCATTTTGTCCATGAGATGTTGATCACAAACGGTAAACATTACAACCAATGGATTGCATTCTTGTTGGATACCTGTCAATGGAATTTCTTGCTCAGGTTCATATCTCCGAGGAGAAAATTCGATGGTCTCCGATCACTTGATTTACGCCTAAAATTACAGTATATATTGCCATTGCTTCCTGATAGAAATTGTGCCTCTACAAGCTGACATAATACACTTTGTCGTAATTTAAATCTCAGAATATCTTGTACTTAATTAATGCTAAAAAAAAATACGTGATTT